CAGCATTTTTGCTTTGCATTTGGCTGTTGAGAAGGCTGAAGTGGTAAATGAGTGGCCAGAACAACAGGACAAGCTGGTACCATACTCTGATTCAGCACTGCATGGCATCACTGCTGCCCAGGGGAGTTTTGTAAAACAAAAGTCTTGGTTGGGGTCACCTGTCTGCAGCTCAAGCAGCCCCTTGCACCAAGGGGAACCAATTGCCCCACCATGCCACCAAGCCTAAGGCCTGCCTCCCTCCCTCTCACGCTGCTCATCCCGAAATGGAAGCCTCCAAACTTAGAAAGCAGAAAACATCAGCCTTAAACATCCCCATCACATCCCCTCTCTGCAATGTGGGGGGATGAAAATACTGTCCTTCAAAGGTTTTCTTGGGGTTGATTGGAGCTTGTACAGCTCAGCAAGATGCTTGGTTGGAACAGCGCCAGACAAGGGCAGCATCTCTTTCATTACAAGCACTGAAAAACAGCAAACCTGAAGGATGTCCTTGAAGTTCAATCTATGGTTTGGGATGCGGTAAGCATATTGAAGGTGTCATGGCTAATGGGTGAGCAGCAGAAAGGATGGGAATTAATAGGGCTGTGGCACTTAGCAATTAACTCCAGCTGATTAACAGAACCATGAAACTTAAAAAAAAAAAAAAATTATAAGGCCATCCACTTCCTGCATGCTGGTGCTGGCAATGTGGGGTACCTGAGGACATAGAGTGTTTGAGCAGAACAGGAGCACTGGGTAAGCAGCAAGAAAAGCCTCCTGGTGAACGTATGTGAAGTGTTGTGGCAGTGAGGAGAGCTCAGCTTCAAGCCTGCAGAGGGGCCAGGTCTTTGCCCTGCAGAGGAATGGCAGCAGCGTCCAGCTCCCTCTGTCAGCTGAGGTTCATATAAATAACAATACCACTCCTTCCACATGATGGCCATGCTGTTATTCTTGGAGCCCTTGGCTCTCTCTGTTTCCTTATCTCACAACAGTAGGTGCACTGTGTTGCACGTGAATGCGCCTTATTTTAAGACCATAAAAATAAATGCTTCTTCAAAGACACGACTAGCTGTAAACCACATTGTCCCTAGATTATTTGGGAACTGGGGACTTAGGATAGGAAAAATGATTGTACAATTAAGCCTTAATATCCTAATGGAGGAAGTAGGGCACTTTGTTTTGTTCTTTAACAATGGAATTTGAATTGAACTTGTACAAAAGTTTTATGGTGATTTCCCCCTCCCCCCCCATATACAGGAAAACACTGATTCATTGAAACCAGAAGTAGATGATAAAGCCAGCTCTGTCAGAATTGTCACTTAAAGCTGCAGAATGCTCTAACCACTCTATTTCAAAGGCATAAAGAATCTGCACCAATCTCCTAATTGACTGAGTCCCAGCCTCATTCAAACCTTTCTATAACTAACTGAGATCTATTTAGAAATCAGCCAAGCTTCAACATCTTCTGAAAGAAAAAGCTCCTTTGCTGGCTTTCTTTTTGAAAGTGGAATCACAGAATCACAGAGAAACGTAGGCAGAAGCAGCCCCTGGGAGGTCACCTGTTCCACCCGCCTGCACACAAAGAACAGGTTCAACTAATGTGAATGGTTCCAAAACTGCTGAAATAAAGTGTTTTCACTGAGCTGACAGTGATGGTTTTCTTTTATCCATTTTACATTTGCAACATTTTGAGACTCATTTTTTTTCACAGGCAAGATGTTCAAATTCCTGAAGATGTGTTTTATTCCTGAGAATGGGATGCCTTTGGACTTGGCTGACGAAGACATGTGAGACCATCACAAGTATTTCCTTGTTCACTTCAGGGAAGTTGGACTAGATGATCTTTAAGGGTTCCTTCCAACTCAAAAGATTCTGTGGTTCCATTTGTTTCACTAGTGGTCTCGAAGTCTTGGGCTCTCTCTGAACTTACCTGCTACCACGCAGTCAAAGGAAAAGGTTAAGAAAGTAGCTCAGATGAGAAAAAGAAGGAAAAAAAAACAGACAAACTTTTCTAGTCCAGCTACCTGAAGATGATGGACAAAGCAGCCTAAGTCTGATTTCTCTGCACGAGGCAGACACATTTCCAAAACTCCAGCTCACTGCTCAGCTTTTCAGAGGACTGTGTTTCCTTCCCATTTTTCTATCCTGTGATTCCTCTATGGGTTAGAGGCTGTGTGTGCGTATTCACTTCTGGGTGACATGTGATCTGCACAGGCACATCATGAAACTGCCATTCCCCCTTCTAAAACAGCATCCCCAAACAATCCTGATATTTAGACTACATACATCTTTCTTTAACACCCTTTTGTAGATGAAATGGGGAGGAAAATGATACTCATGACAAATGCACAAGGACTGAAATGCAAAGGTGAAAATGTTTTATTGAAAAGTAAAATAAAATAATACTGACACTTCACAGGCCAAATAACACAAAGGCAAAAATATACAGAAAAGAGAAACTCTGTAACGGCTATGTGACATCAAACAATATAAGGAAAGAAATACTGTTTCCAATTCGTGCAAGGCTGTTTCTCTAGGAAATAACAATGAGGAATTCTGTATGAGCTGCATGTTGATAAATGTTAGGTTAAGACACAGAGACACAAAAGAATCAAGTGAACTGGACAGACGTGACAGAAGCCATCATGGAAATTAGATAGAGTACTGGATGAAATGGTAGGTGTACCAGAGCAGTTCTCAGGTCGACACTGCAGCAGGGACTGGGGCCATCCCTGGCCTGGAAGATCCCCATGAGGCCCATGGTGATGTATTTTTTTAAGTCAAATTTTTAACAATCAAATTAGACTCTAACACAGTCTTGCTTTGGCCTCATGGCCTTCCATTTGCCTGAATATCTTGCAGCTGATCACAGGGATGCCAAAATCTCTAACAGAAATGGAAAGCTGGGCAAAATGATGCAGTTACAATGGGATCACGAAGCTTAACATGGCCTTGGTTGCTACCTCCTGCCAATGAGGCTTGCTGGACTGTGGGAAGCAGCTCTGCCTCTACACCAAGCGCCATGGATAGAAGGTTCAGCAACAGCAAAGCTTTTACATGTCCTGAGCAGATGATGAGCTCCATGACCTTCAGCAAAGCTGACTGCAATTCTTCACGTGCTTAAAGCAAAACTAACTTGGGAGTGAGGGAAAGAGCGGGTAAGGGATGAAAAGGGAGGTGGGAAAAAAGGAATTGCTACATGTTCCACGTTGGTACAGTACTTGCCCCAATGATGCAGGTGGCTGGGGCTGCCCAATGCCTTGCCGCAACACTATTAAGCACAAAAGGCTACAAGCAAGGCCTTTGCTGACTTTAGGATTCAGACCTACACCTTCAAGGCTGGGCTGATCCCCAGAATATCCTCAAACCTCGCTGCCAGCTGAGTGAATAGTGCATAGACACCACTTCATAGTGCTTTTTTAATGCCATTATCAATAGCTATGCTTCAGCCATTGAACACCAACGGAGAGAAGCCATGAGTCAGAAGTGACTCAGGGGCACCCATTATCTACAAAAAAATAAGCATGCACTTAGTGTGTGTAGTACTGAATACCACAATTAAGTGAGGGGAGCTGCAGGAGAACAGACACCCCTGGAGCTTGTAGTATTATATGAAACGTTGTGAATAACAGCACCAATCAATGCCAGGGTCCTGCTGTGCTTTGGTCTGTCCTACAAGGGAGGGGACACCCCCATTCCTGTGCTGAAAGGCTTGTGTGCTGGGGGTTAATACACAAGGTATTTTCCTACGCTTCTTGCCTCCTATTGAAGCAAGGGCTTGTACTCAATGGGTTTCATACTTCCATTTTGTGCGAAAATTGCAGAACCTGTTCAGCAATTGGAAACAAGAGGGGTGGAAGTCTGCTGTGTAAAACCAAGGCCAGTTTAAACCTCAGCCCCAAATGACAAACAGCTATGTTATTCAGACCCAGGCAGAGCACCAAGTCTTACCCAGCTGGATGGAGCTTTCAATGAGCTCAAGTACTTTTGCTGGATTCCCTGGAGAGTTGGGCATATAACCACTGTTCTCCCAAAGCCTTCAGCAGCACCATGCACAATGCTTTCCCCAGCCAGCAGCACAGAGACAGCAGGTGGGTTCAGTAGTATACTGGGGTTCCTTGCAGTGCTTGTGAAATCCCTGAGCTTACTCTTCAAAAGAAGCACCTCTCAGAGATGCTCCATGGCCTGTGCTAGTGAGAACTATTCCCTAGATTACAAATCCTTCAGGACAGTAATGTTTAAGATGCTCAGAAGATTGGAGAGTCCTAGAAACAGACCACTTATTAGTAGAAATGCTACAATACAAATAGCACCTAGAAGAGCATGTTTAAAAAAAACGTGTAAGTACACTGTTTCTGTAACAGCAATTCCACATTGCTAAACTATCTGCAACTGCTTCTATAGAAATGTGCAGAGAGAAGATGAGGAGCTTCAAGAGTTTATGCTTCCCCCACCAATGCAGAAATGTGCAGTTCCACAGAAATCAGGATTACAGGGCTGGGACACTGATCACAGCATTGTAGGGGATGGAGGGGATCTCCAGAGATCATCAAGTCCAACCCCCCTGCAAAGCAGGTCCCCTACAGCATGCTACACAGGTAGGCATTCAGGTAGGTCTTGAATATCTCCAGAGAAGAAGAATCCACAACCTCCCTGGGCAGTCTGGTACAGTGCTCCATCACCCTCACTGTGAAGAAGTTCCCTTGCATACTGGTGCAAAACTTCCTATGCTCAAGTTTAAGGCTGTTTCCCTTTGTCCTATCCCTACAGACTGCTGAAAAGAGGTTGGCCATGTCTCTTTGACTCCCATGCTTAAGATACTTATAAACATTAATAAGATCACTTCTGAGCCTTCTTTTTTCAAGGCTGAACAGACCCACTTTGCTCAGCCTTTCCCCATAGGAGAGATGCTTCAGGCCCTTTATGGCCCTCCGCTGGCCCCTCTCGAGGAGATCCTTGTCTTTTTTGTACACAGAACTGGATACAGTACTCCAGGTGAAGCCTGTCCAGGGCGGACTAGAGGGGGAGGATCACCTCCCTTGACCTGTTGGCCATGCTCCTTTTAATGCACCCCAGGATCCCAGGGCACACTGCTGACTTAACACCAACCCGTCATCCATCAGGACTCCCAGGCCCTTCTCCCCAAAGCTTCTCTCCAGAAGGTCATCTTCCAATCTGTACTGATACTCACAGTTATTCCTTCCCAGGTGCAAAATTCTACACTTTCTTTTGTTAAACCTCATCTGGTTTATTGCTGCCCAAGTCAAAATGAAAGGCTCTATATTCCATTCAAATTGAACTCCAAAAGGGACCAACAATCAGGAGGGAGTGAATGGAGAAGAGGAAAGAAGCCCTGTCTTGGAATCTAAGGAATGTCCCATAGGAACTGGATCAAGGAGTACTGGCATGTACAAAGGCCACGTTATGACAAGGTGCTGGCTGCACCCCATCTGAAGACCCCAGATATAGACCCTGAGACCAGGGCTTCCGTGGTTCATTACAAGGGTGTGCAGTCACAGCAAGAAGTGTACGTATCTTTGGTCTTTCTACTGCCAGGACAGTAGAAAAGCTGTAGGGAGGCACGACTGTGCTCTGAAACTCTTGGGACACAGACCCAGCCTGAGCTCCTTCCCAGTCCCTGGACTAACTTCTATATCTTTCATGGGTTTTTCTGTTTTGTAGGTGGGCTTTGGATTGTGATTTTTTTTTCTGTTTTGTTTGTTTGGGTTTTTTTGCTGATGGCATCAAACATTTCTTAGGGAGACATATGAGGGCTCTTGCCGATCAAGGCTCGAACTCCTGATAATTTTTTTTACTGGCAGTTCCAGCTGAAGCTCTTTCCAGAACCTGCCCTTTGGGAACTTCGATTTCTCTCCTTTCCACTTAATGATAGTCAAGGCCGCCTTGGCCTGCTTCAGCTCCTTCACTTTGCTCTTCTTGATGACTTTGTACTGCACTAGAATAACTTTGATGTTGCCCTTGGAGGCCATATTCTCTAGCCCAGCCTTGAGCTCCAGCAGGGCCTGCGTCCCCTGCATGACGTAGTTGGGGCTCAGGACAACAAGCAGACGTTGGCTTTTCTGGATGAAGCTCAGGGTTTCGTCTGTGACAACTGGGAGAAAGAAATATCAGGGTGGTTAGTGATGGCTGAGAACAGGCTACTAAGCTGCTCATGTGATTCCACATAAGTTTTAGAAGGGGACGATGAAATACCTCAGATGACCTTTCCAAACACCATACTGGTGCTTCCCAAGCTCTGCAAGACCTTCCTAGCCCATGGTTCCATAGAAGAACTCTATGTTTCTTGTGGGTTAATTTACTTTGGAAATACTGTTATATCAACCAACTTTACACTAGTTGTTCCTGTTGCTATCATTGATGAAAGCAGATCTCAGTGTTGCTGATAGTGACATGTAAACTATTCAGAGGACTTTTAATGATGCATCCAAAAATGACAAATACGGTAACTGTAGATCATCTTGGATTTTCTAAAACCTGCATGTAGATTGTCCTTACACCTTTCTGTAATTAATGTGAAAAACCCCTGTAAGCACAAATCCCAGTGCTTGCTCTCTCCGCTGCACGGTCTCCCACACCACATTGACAACAGAATGCTCCTGAGTGGTCAGAAAACATAATGGAGAATAAAATAACACCGACAGGCAACTTCATTTAGCTGTCAAGCACATTTGATTAGTTCCTGTCAGCAAAGTCATAGGATAATCAATCTCCCACTGTTCTTTCACCAAGGACAACATAACTCTCCCAGCAACACAGATGTACACTCCAGAGGCATGGCACCAGCTGCCAAAAGCTATTTCCTGGTCTGCTGTGCTTCCCCAAGAAGATCAGTCAAATCCTAGCTCAGAAGCAATGGGGAGGGATCCAGCAGTATTGCTAACTGCAGCCATAAGCCAGCAAGACAGAACTCAGCTGGGCTGGTCCTCAGAACTCACTGGATTGAGGCTAATAGTGGCAGTGAGCTGGGATAGGAGCACCTTTCAGGTGATGGTGAAGGGCAAGGGAGCTCAGGATTGCTATGCTGGAAAGAAAATGAAACTCTCCAGATGAAAGAGTGACATGAAGTTGGTGAGTATGCTTCTGGCCCAGAGCAATCTTAGGCAGCTGAGAGATGGAAGGTGCTCTGTCAGTGACAGTTTCACAAACTTCCATTCTGGGTGACTTTCTGCATCCTACATGCAACAAAATATTCTTAACCATAACAACTGACTTTATGCTATGTTAGACACATTTTCTAATTAATGAAGATGAGTAGCAGGCCTCCTGGGAGGGCATGTTATCATCTCAGAGATGCTGGTACAGAACACTCCACACCTCCCTGAAGCAGGCACTTCTGGTTTTTCCAGGCATTCACTAATGCTCTATGTGAGTTAGCAGCCCAGTCCAGCATTACACCTCTCTATTTATTTTTTAAAGCCTTGATTTCATCCCCTTTTCCTAAAGCAGATCAAAGGTTGTGTGAATGTCAGTGGATGTTTCCTCTGTGCTGATAAAAACAACCACTCCCACACATCACTCTTGGAAAAGCAAGTGAAATGACCACAGCCACCACTTGTCCATGGATTTTCTGGTAGCCTGGAACATCTGTGACATTGTCACATGCAGCAAAAACATTAGAAGATACCAACAAAAGATTGTTCTTGGAGATGGGGAGGATAAAAGCTAGTCTGGAATGACCAACTCTCATCAGTTACTCCTGCAGTAGAACTTGATCTTTAAGGTCCCTTCCAACCCAAGCCACTCATTCTATGAGTTTATGATCAGTACCTCAAAGAACCAATAAAGAAGAGAGGATGCACATGGAGCACAGCCCCCTGTGAAGTACTCACTTCCCCCAGGGAGGCTGTCTCTGTCGAAGATACACAGCTTGTACCCAAACTCATTTTCCAGGACTCCTCGCAGCGTCAGCAACACAAATTCTTCCTCCTCCGCGTTGCGTGCATAGGACACATACACATCATACTCCTTCCCATCTGAGCATTGAGGGAGTGCAGAGAAATACAAACAGCAGAAGAGACATTTGTGATACTGCGCATGCTGAGTCTTTGATTTTCTTAAGGGGAAAGTAAATATAAGGGCTCAATTTGAGCCCGGGTCAAGACATCAGTATTCATAGCTCTAAAGCAGCAGTGCTGCCTGATAGCCCAGGCTGAATGTGAAAGTACCCAGACAACACTGGGCTGCTGAAGACAAAAGACTGCAGCAACATCACCACAAAGAGAAATTCCCAGTAACACAGGGAAGATGTGGTCATACTGAGGAAGAAGGATGCTTAATTACCTCATCCTTCTGGATGCCTTCCCACATTTTAAAGCAAATCACTCCTAATTTGAGAATCCCTGCATAGAATCAGAGAAGCCAGGCATTTAATTATAAAATAAGCCCTTTAACTCCTTACCTAGAATGGTTTCATCTGTTCCAAAATGAGCTCTATAGAAGAGGACCATTTCAAGCCAATAAACATGATAGATGACAATCAGCACCACAACGAGCAGGATGGTTGCTCCCAGTCCACAGGCCAGCTCCACAGTGTACTTCGGTGCTGCAACTGGATGCAAAAAAGAACAAGAGGCCAGGTTTACCAAACAGGCTGCACCTTCAGCTAAGCAGGATCAAGCATGAGTTACATGTAGTCAAATGATGCAGAGAAACACTGGGAAATAAAAGCCAAGAGCCAAGCTAGCCCTTCAGACAAAAGTGGCCAAACCAAAGCTTGTCTGGCAAGACACGTGACAGCAGACCCATAGATGGAAATCACTTGCATAGCCCAAAGCCAGTATATGAACGTGATCCTCTCATGAGGATATGCAACCTCTTTGGGCAACACATACTTCTAGAAGAGTCAGACAAAGCTCACCTGCAACAACATAAAGGCAATGGCCACTGCTTTCCCTCCCCATCACACACCCACAGTTCTCATGTCACATCCCAGAATGACAATAAGGATATAACTAGCCTTGACCTGACCGTTTCCTATCACAAAGAAACAATCAGTTCATATTAGAAAAGCTGAAGCATTTGCAAACAAAGACAACCCTGTGGGCAACAAACCAAGATCACAGGGTCCCTTCCAATTCATACGGTATCTGTCATGATGCTGCTGCTTCTTTGTGTTATGGGTAGAAAAAGCTGTAGTTCTGGACAACTTTTTTCTTTTTTAAATAGCAACTCATGGCAGCTCACATGCATGCTGGCAAACTGCATGATATGAGTAGTGAATGGAAGCATCACCAAATTTCAAGATCTATTAAATTTTATTAAAAACTTAATTACGAAAGAGAAAATGAAAGGAATTTAACAGATTTCATTAGGTGAATAGCAGAAGTACAAGGAAAAGAAGGGAAAGCATCCAGAAAAAAAAAAAAAAAAAAAGTCAGGAAACTTATATAACCTAATGTAATGAAATAGCTGCAGCCAACGTATGCAGCTACTTGCTAAAAACTGAAAGGTAAGTGGAAAGGGGTTAGGTTCTAGGATGCCTGGTGTTCCTATGCCCAGTGGAATGGTCTGCAGTGAGCTTAGTTCAAGGTTGTTCTGCCAGCAGTGCTTGAGGCCGAATCTTGCAAGTTTCTGTGGAACAGAGCAGAAAGGAGGGGTTGTGAGTAACCAAATCTGCTCAGAGCAAACCCACTCAACTGCTGCAGGAGCAAACGTGGGAGGAAGAGAAGAGGATAGAGCAGACCAGTCCACTAGATACAGCATTTAGGCACTGCTGTTTGGGGAAAGAATTTGAAGGCTGCCACATATACAATCATTATCATCCCAGAAGAATTATGTAGGGCAAATGCACTAGCAGATGACTTCAGTCTTTCAGTTCTGTTTGATCTATTGTTCCTTCCTAGTGATCCAGAAAAGGTTCATTTCAAATGAATGGTACTAAAAATGAAAGAGGACAGGGACTAAGAAAGAAGAGAAAGAACGCTTCTAGAATAGATCTCTGTGAGCCTTCTCATCCCAACAGGGAAAAATGGGAGGAAGAATGTGTCTAGCATGATCTCCACAAGGCAGACCAGGACCTTATATGGGAGAAGGGAGGGGAGGATCTGATCTAGAGCAAGCTGTACAAACTCTACATGAGGTTGATAAAGCAGCAGAACATCCACTTACTCATGAAACCTTATATATCTATACTGAAGTTCTTATTATTGAGGTGGGTCTGTGAAACAGGAAGAAATACCTTTGAAGAAAAAAGATGTAGGAAAAAAATGCTTTCTGAATAAGGCTTGAACAGTCCATATTTACCACACTGAGGTGGTTGCATCTAGATTGGAGCATTATCACAACAAAGAGTAAAATCACAGAGCATCGTGGTCAGATCACTTCACTTCTGATGTAATGTCAGAGTGCAGTGTCCCTTCTTGTAGGATACCAGCAGGTAGCAACCCTCACACAAACAACTAATCTGAAATCATTTCAAACCACCCAGCCCCTTGAACATGCATCAGCTGTAGTACACGGATAGTGTGAGAAAGGTTCTAACCCTCTCTTACTCACCAGCCAGTTGACCATGGCACAAGCACATGAGACATGCATACTTTGATCTCTACCACCAAATGTAATATAAGCAGCTATAATACATCTATGCCTAAAGAGTAGCGTGTGTTGGGAGGGAAAAAAAGCCTGAATGAAATAATTGTTCCCCTACTGTTTTGCAGTGCAAGGCTCAAGGCAGGATGGACAGCCCAGTGTGAGTGTATCTCAATTCACAACCATGCTCTGCTAGTACTTTACCTTTCATGCGCACTATGGCTTGGCTACGGACTTCCCCTCTGGCATTTCTGGCATAGCAAGTGTAATTGCGTTTCAAGTCCTCTGGTGTGGCTTTTGCAACTGTTAGAGTCCTTATGATAGTTTTGTCTTCAAAACGTCTAGGAATTTCGCTGCAAGAGGAAAGTTAGAGCATTACATACTTGAATACTTAGACCTTCATCCAGGTCATTGATGAGTAAGCTGCAGAAGACTGAACCCAGTACTGATCCCTGAGGGACACTGCTATCTGCAGGCCTCCATCTAGACCACCAGCCGATCACAGCCCTCTGAGCTCTGCCATGCAGTCACTCACTCATTTTTCCCCACTGCAGATGTGTCATTTTATTTTAAAAAAAAGAAGGTTCTTGTCTACAAAGATCCCATGAACTTAGGATTCCAACCCCACTCCACTTTCCCTGTGCAACCCTGTGAAATCTCTCTCTGCCTGAACTTACTGTTATTCTCATTTTGCAGGTATTTCCTTTTGCCTATCTTCTACAATGGTTTGCAAACCAATCAGGTAGCAACTGCCTTCTATATCTAATTCAGCACCCAGTAAACAAGTTTCTGAACCTCATTTGGATTCTTCACATAATTGAATCTCTCTGCATTCCTCCTAATCAATACTACGCATAACACTATCATTTGTTTTCAGCCTCTGTCTCCTGAAACATTTTGTCATTTAAGCTATTTCACAGCATTCCTCTAAACAAATCTGTGTCTGCCTGTTTCTGAAATCTCACAGTACCATCAGCTGTTTATACTGGTAGTAGGATCTGAATGGGTGATGATGAGAAATGAGAGACAAAGCTCCCACAATCCCTTCTGTAAAGCAAGGTACTGTTCATGTTTAAATGACTTCTCCCTGGAGCTCCCTGCAGCACAGTGCAGATACATGGCTTCCTGACCAAGGGACAAGGTGGAGATCCACACTCCCTTCCTTGCGAGAGAAAGATTAGACTAGTATTTGGCCCCAGTACCTGGGGAGGAAACGTAAGAGCAATGAGATTTTAGGAGACTTCAAAAGATCTGACATCTTCTTGCCTTGAACCATTTCCATAAAGACTTCCCTCCTGAGTGGAAAAGCCACAGATATGCTGCAGACAACTCCAGCTGGGCTATGATACTGCCACCTGCACCCATATCCCTTCACAGGACCTAGGTCAGAGTTAGACAAACCAAGTGTTACCTTTGTGTGACTTTGGCATCCATGATGTCATCTGTGTTCTTTCCATCTATGGTCCACCACACCTCAGTCCGAGAGTCCTTCAGAAAGGTGAAAAAGACTTCACAGGGCAAAACAAGATCATCTCCTGGGAAGAAATGGCCACAGTGAAGTATTACGAAGTACAAATAGCACCACATTGAGCTTTCCAGTGGCCAGGCTAAACTCTGCCTCCTTTTAAGAAGCAAAACACACACTTTCAAACATTTGTTGTCTGTTTAATACCCTAGACATGTTGACTTGTGACATAAATAAACAGAAAAAAAATATTCTGCTTTCCTAAATACTCCAGAAATTCCCTGACTGCACGAAGTGACACACTCAAATAGAGCTGCTCCACGCCAACCACTTCTTGGAAATCTTGGCAGTGTTAAGCATTCCAACTGCACAGGGGACAGTGACCTTAAGGAGAAGAATTTTGGTGTGGAAACAATCCTTCAGGCACTCCACTTCCCCTCAAGATCAGGCTTGGAAGCCTGAATATTGTTATGATCTGCCCACAAGTCTCACAGAGTGTAGCAGAAGCCTGATCTTCTGAGCTCAGAAGTAGTGCTTTAGTATGAAGACCGCTGGTAATCATCAGCATTGGCATGACATTTATTACAGCAGTGTAATGGGACACAATCCATTCAGCATAGGGAACTGCTCCAAAGAGCTATCAGTCTAAACAGATGGAGTAGAGGAAGTGGTGTAATATCCCACTACACAATACTGTAAGACCAGCAAATGGAGAGCTGTCATTAATTAGGAAGTAACCAGAGGGAGAGGAGATGAGCAAAGAAGTGGCCAGAAGGCAGAAGCCACAAAGGCACTGAATGAGGGAGGGTTGGAACAAACCACAGCCAGGGTCAGGAGTGACAGAAAGTCCTACAGGAATTGCTCTAAGTAACTAAGAGCTCTCATTTCATCTGTTTCTGCAGCTGCTCCAGTTTGCTGGAGTCCTCTATCTCCATGCCTGAATACTTAAAAAAAAAAAAAAAAAATCTGTGTGCACAAATTAACTTTAAATCTATGCCCTCCTATTCTGCCATGGAGAACTAGCACCCCTAACCATCTGCCAGACAGCTTGTGGCAGCTGCTCTGCTCAGTGAGGGGAAGCACCAGGGAAGCAGAGGGAGAGAAAAGTCTCTGCCTGGCTGGCCATGCATCCCTGTCCCCTAGGGATTGTAGGTATTGCCATTTACCTGCTTCCAGTTCGTAGACAACTTTTTCATTTGGGGAGGTGAACTGTGGTGGCAAGGCCTTGTTTGGAGATCCTGTGGGAGAGAACAGAGAAGCCCCTGCTGCTTTACTCATGATGCCCCCCTGTCCCAGTACATATGATGCTACCTAATTTGTGATGCAATCCTAACGCAGAATTTCAAGCAAAGGGAAATCTAGTCCTAGCACCCAAACAGAGCCAGATGCAGATTTTGAGGCTCCTTTGAAGTTTAGGTATGTCTACATTAAAGGTTCAGGGCCTCCCACATCTGAAAAGCTCCATGTCCTCTCAGAGATTCGGCATCTTCCATGAAGTACAACCTATACCAGAAATTCTTTTTATTTCTGCTCCTAAAAAAAATAAGGTGCCAACATCAATTCTCATCATAGGCACTTAATCCTGCACTTAAAGCTGTCATTGTCTTTGCACTCAGAACTTGCTCTACTGTTCACTTGTTTTTAAGCTCCATCTACAACCCACTGGCAGGAAGGCCAAGATCTTGTCCATAAATGCAGACCTGTCCATACACTGGCATGGATAGCTGAAATCCCATCCATGAAAAATGATTCTAGCTCAGCACAAAGGCTTTGAGATTGCAGGAAGATTGGGACAAGCAGGCTGTGATTGGACAATCCCACAGATAATGATGAGCAAAGGGCTCTGGAGACAAAAATGAGTGTCAGGGTTATGCACTCATGAGCCAGCAGAGGGTACCCCTGACCACCTCATGGGCTGTATCTCACCAGCCAAAGCCTGGTTCCCCTTGGTGTTCCTTTGGGGGTATTTGACATGGTGGTGAGTGGAGCTTCCAGTGCAACATGCCCTGGACAGTCACAGAAGGCTGACCCCAGCAAGTCAAAATACAGCAGTAACAAGTCAGCTGGGTAACACAGACTGAACAACCACAAACAGATCCCATGACAGACTTGAGCAGTTTTCACCACTTCTGTTGTTATCCACCTGCAGCTTATACTCTTTGAAGTCATTCTTACCTACCACCTTCATCTTTATGGTTCTGGTGAGATTATATGTTCTTCCATGGTCCTTGAATGTCACAATGCAGGTGTAATTCCCTTCATATGCACTGCGGACAACACCAATGACAAGCTTGGACCCTTGAGGATGTCGTTCATTGAAGCCATCCACTAACCTGCAGGACTAGAGTCAGGCAGAAAAAGCACTTGTGTTTTGGGACTCAAAAAGTTACTGGTTTAAATCCCACTGCAAATAACTGTGTTGAAACTATAAATATGATGCGAGACTTGGGTATCTGATGCAGCTCAGGCCTAAATGCCATGAACCCTGAGAATACTGTTATACAAACTGGTTCATTCACCTCGAAAAAGAGGTGATGAAGTAGATGATCCTAATAGCTTTATACAGACAATTTCAAAGACATATATAGCTCTGATCTAGAAGTGCATTTGCAATCAAGGTGAACACCTCTGCAAAGTAAAGTAAAAACAGACAAGGAGAAAAATGATGATGTATTCACAAACGGATACCAAGAATAAAGGACATGACGCCCAGTTGATGTGAGCATCTCTAACGCTTTCAGGACTAATCATGCTACCTTGACTGACATCAGTTGTCAATGAGGCCCCAGAATTGGCAAATGACAAACGAGAATCTATAGTACAAAAACCTTAGTAACTCTTCTCTCTCTGCCAGGTGAGGCAGGAAACCTCAGCCAAGTACCAAGCTAGAGATCCCCTTTTAGGAAGCAGTTAAGCAGATGATATCTTCATTATCATAAAACCCAAAGATATGCACATTTTTTAAGAGATTATTTCTGAATGGTGCATTTCCCAGTGAGATAGATCCTAATGGGGCAATTTAAGACAGGGGTCATATACCATTTTTAATGTTTTTTATTAGGCATGGGATGAATTGCTGCCTGAAAAATGATTTCCATGGGGCTCTGTGCTTCATCCTCCTAATTGATTGTTGAAATGTGAATTTCAATGAGCAGTACAAGTAAGACATTTCAACTATCAGAACGAAACTGTTCCTCTTGGCTACAAAAGCAAGCTTTTCCTGAAGGATTTCAGAGTTGGATATTCTTTAAATTTTTAATTTTTTCTTTTAAACAGCAGATATTCGTTGCCAACTTTCTTTACTATTAAATTCACTCATATAGTACCTTCTACCTTGAAATTTGGAAGTGCTTTACAAGCTGTTAGAGAATTCAGTACCACAGCCCCCTGGCTGTGCATCCCCTGAGAATTCTTTATTCTCTCTTGACTAAAGGCATCCATCTAAAGAAAAATACTGAAGTAAAAATTTAATACAATTTAGCAGTAGTTGTGTAGGCACGAGCCTGAGGATGGCTGGAAACAGCCTGACTATCAGAGCGGAATGGAATAGGGATGTCTCCATCTTCAGAAAAGAGGTTTGCCAATTTGTGGCAAATAGCATCTGTGGTCCTTGAAGAGCCTCACTCTACAACTCCATTCCCTGACCTCATGAGATTTGGGAGGGGAGGTTTTTCTCCTTAGCTTACAAAATGGTTTTATCTTAAATAGTAGTAAAAAGGGAACTAAGTAATGATTTTATTTACAGGAACAGCAATTTGCTTGCCATGTAGATCAGGCATACTACCAGCTGAACTGAAGGTTCCCAATTCCTTGAGTCTTCTCCACTTATACACACAAATCAAAATAGACATATATATACACACATATACATATATAATATCAGTGTTTGTTCTCGTATCCAAAGACAGTTTTACTCTTGAACTCAATGGAAACAAAGCTCTAACTGTAGCTTTACTAACTTTAACAGTTTAATCACTGGACAGACTCTAAAATAAGCTCCATGGTTCTCACCTCACACATTGCTTTTTCAGATACCAAACACCAAATCCCCCCTCTGCCCAAATAATGACTAAAGTGCTTCTCACCTGGTACCACTTGACAGTTGGTGTTACACTAGCAGGGTAAAACCCATCAATGTCTGGACATATGATCTTTTCATTAGCATACTCCAGGTAAAACATCTGCTCAACAGGTTTTATTGAATGGCTCACACAAGAGCCTTGGTCTTTAGGAACAACCTCCAAAGGAAAGGCAACTTTGCTGCAGTAAGTTGTGTTTCTAAGGACAGAGGAGGAGAGGGCTGATTAGACAAGACTAGCTTCCTCCTATAGCAGGGTAATGAAATAAAGATCACATCTGCAATAATGAGCATCATCATTTTGATGAAGCATATACTGCCTTAGTTGACTCACGTACATATGTGAAAGGAAGCACCAGAGATGGCCATAACACCTCAGAAAAGCCCGTAAACATGACTAATAAGCAACATACACTCTACTGCTGGTAAAGCAGATAATAGTGTCAAAGACACAATGAACATGAGATAACACAAGGAAGATTGGAAAGAGCTCCTGCGCTCAGTGCAAAGCAGCTGCTATGTTCATTTTGTACCACACTTAGAGACACTTCTAATTTCCTAGAAGTCTGGATCTCATGAATCTTTGCCAAATTATCATGCAGTCAAAACATCACCCTTGCATCTGAAGCTATTTTTACTCTAGACATACAGATCACTTCTTAATGGTGAGTGCCTATGGATTTTGCCATGGGCTCAGCAGTAATACTTTACGGACACTTGTAGTTAGTGAGAAAAGGCGTGTTCATTAATGCTTGCAAGGCTCCAAGCATTATTACAATGTAAATTGGCTCAGTGCTGAGTGGCCTTATAATCGTAACATTCTTTTCCCATTAATGCTTATGTCAACGCTCTTCTCTCTACAGAAAGATCCACCGCTAACAGCACGGCCCTCGTGCTTCCACGAAAGTCCTGCAATTACAGAAGCTGTGCCACACAACCTACCTGAGCATGCATGTGTAATTCCCAGTGTCGTTGAGGAGAGCAGGCCAGAACCAAAGGGTGTCCTTCTCCTTACTGATGCGGTTATCTGGGAGACGAAAATTAATAGGCTCCTCCAGATCTCGGTCCTGCCCAATCCTGTACCAGATCAGGGTTAAGCCAGCAGAATGGGCTGTGCTGTAGTTGTACTTCAAGAAGGTCTCGAAAAGTGGGCATTTGATCTTGGCGGGCTCCCCATCGTAAATCTGGATCTGTTTCATGGTGTCCACACCCCAGTCATCACAACGTTCTACAACCACAAAGAACAAAGTGCCTTAGCTTGCAAAGCTACAGGAGAAAAACAGTTCTGCACCCACTCCCTACATCCTTGGTCCTGCCTCCACCAAAATGAGAGGAAAAATTTCCAGTGTTTTAAGTGAAAGCAAACTTGGCTTTTACAAAGCACATCAAGAATATTCTGTTCAGCTCTTGAGAAGCTGTAAACATCCACCTTCCTTTATACATTTCCTATAGTTTCCTAATTCTCATGATGTATTGTCCTGATGGCAGGTAGATATGGCAGGATACTGTTGTGTCCAGGCTTCCCCGAGAGCTCCAGGAAAGCTCAACCTTAAGCATTACTGCAATGGGAAGATAAGCTGTGGGTGAGAACAATCCCAGAGGTGTCTGTTTGAACAGAGGTGCCTGAACTAGAGAAAACTGAACACTGCAGACATTAATCCTGTCCGTAGAGATAGGGACCATCGCCCTGCAAGAGAAAGCTGGACCAGGGCAGCTGGGAATGAGGACTGTCTTTTCTGTTGTGGATTTGCGCAACCCCTTCGCATGTTACGCTGAGTACAAACACTACCAAGTGACACGTAGCGACTATAGCAAAGTCTGGGAAGGGAGGCTGAGGGGGCAGGAGAGCCAGCATTGAGGAGACAGCAGGAGGTTCACTTGGGGATCACAAAACAGCCCCCAGTGCATTCCCCAACTGCCATCCAACAGGATCAGCTCAGCTCCAGGTAGACTCAGACTGACAGAAATTAAGCAGCAATAAAAAACAGCTCTTAGGTGATGTTTTTTCTTAGGTTTTTGGTTTTGGTTTTTTTTTTTTTTTTTTTTTTTTAAATATTTGCTTCCAGTGAACAGGATCAGGACAAACAGCACACTCACCACCCATTCATCCTCCACAAGCTCCTTTTCACCCTATTCCTCCCACCCAGAAGGATGCCCTGTCACAAAGAGACAACGAGCAAGCAAAACAAGGTGCCAGCTAACCTGAGAGCAGCCTGCACTGTCCATGCTGCCAGGGCAGAGGATGCACAGCATGCTGCCCTTGCACCCCCTGCAGCAACCAGGAAGCATTAGTGAGGGCAACCTGACATCTCAGAATCCTAAATGAGTCCAACAGAAAGGGGTGCTGCCTGCAGCTGCCCCAGGAGAGGCATTGCAGCACGCAGCAGCCACCTCAGAGTCAGCACTGCAAAGCTTCTCTAGTTCACAGATATTAGAGGAACTTGGACAGAGAGGAAAAAACAGAATACAATATGCTCTTTGAGCCCAATTCTTCTGAACTGACTTCACAGGCCCAAAGCAGGATTTCTGGCATTTTATCTTCCTTAAATAGACAGTGGGATGTAGCTTGGCCCCAAATTCATACTTAATTAAAAAAAAAAAAAAAGCAAAGAGAGGAACCTTTGAGAAGACAGCCCCACAGCGCTTTAAGGCAGCTCCACTAACTCGTGGCTCAGTGATGGTTAGTCATGGGGAGGCAAAATCTGGGCCAGTAAGAATAGAAATGTTTTCTGGCTGTTTCATACATCATGTAAATGCAAACTGCACTGCTTCTCCTGAGGTATCTGGACAAAAAGCAAAACGGGCTGGGAGGAGGTGGTGAGACTAACGAGAGCCCAGGTACTAGGAAACCAAAACCCAAAGCACTGGGGAGTGCCATAACCATCACCTCAAACACAGCTACTTCTTTCAAAACTAAACATCAGGAGGATCGCAGCTATTGCAGCCAGAGGCAAGGCTCATTTTGAGGAACCAAAATGAGCACTGGAAGCCTAACACCATGCATGGTCACCCATCTCCACCACAGTAGAAAACAACCTGGAAACCAACTTGAACCAGTATCCGGTTAAGCTACTGGATTAGGTCAAGTTTCCATGGAGCAGTAAACAAGACAAATGAGCCTGCCACTGACCATCTGCTAATTGCATGACAAAGCTTTCATTACCATTCACATTTGTTTTCATACAAAAAGCCTCTCCCTTCAAAAGGAATGAGGTCTCCCTGAAGACCTGGGGCCGTAGATCAGGTCATGGGGTTCTTTCCTGCACCTGACTTTGCAGTGTCCTCATGGGCTGCAAAAAGGAAAACTGTCCTCATTACTTCAAATGGCAAGGCTGGAGAGGGAGGAAACTGTATAAAAAATTACAGTACTGAAATTCATGGAGTAAAGATCAATGAGTTTTGCAATCGTGACCAGCTCTTATGTTTTGCAAGAGTTCATAAATCAGCATTGTAAAGCTACTTACCCGTTCTAACTGAATGAGTAAATGAAAATAAAATACATTGCTTCTGAGTAATGCGCAGGGGAAGAAAAAAATACATCATCGTATGGGCCTTGTTTTTTTAGTCGATGGGGAAAAAGGCTGTTGTCCTTTACTGTAAGAGCAGTACAAAGGGATTTTTGGCCAGTTCAAGTGACCTCAGGGATGCCATCACACCATGCAGGTCATGTTTAGGTGTGCCCTGCAGCACTGCCCTCACTCATTGAGCGGTGCCATCACTCACTGCTCACCACAGCAATATCAAACAGCACAGGCTGAGCAAGACCTCCTTCACATGCAGACCAAGGCTACAAGTTGTGGTGCTCCACACAACCCCCCTCCTCCCTGCGTCATGCTGTCAGTAGTACTGGTATTTCCATTTTGGGACACCGTAATGTTTCGCACCCTTTCCACTGTTTAACCCACAATGGAGATTCAGAACTGTTTGCTGCTTATGCAGCATGCAGATGCTTGGAGGTCAGTCTACACTGGAGGCAGCTCAAAATGTCAGGACATCAAACTGAACCTCAGCTCTTACTGATAAACATACATTCATACACTGATACATATACATACATACGCTGATAGATCCAGTAATGGTATTTAAGAGGGCATCATGAAAAGAACACGCAAAAAATACACAAGAACTCAGCTCTAGTTATTGGAAGCAGCCTAAACTTGAACGCTGCTGTGCCAGTTTGCACCCATTCACACTTATCCTTACTAGCTAGGTCTAGGAAGCGAGTTTCTTCTCTCTTGAAGCATTTCCTACACTATACTAAACTGCTGGGGTTAAGAACAGCTCCTGATTAAATCAAGTGGGAGCAGCACTCACGCTGACTTCAGGGCTTCACTTGACAAGTGGAAACCCAGCAAAATGATGAGTGCACTTGTAGGTGAATGAGAAGTTAGCTCCAAACATCTTCCTTGCTCGGGTTGTGTGTTTCAGCTCATGCTCATGGGGATGCATCTACTGCTGTACAGCAGCTTCCCCTGTTAGAGAAACTCTGAGCTGTCCCATTTCTGAATCTGCTGCTTGAACGTCAGGCATCCCAAAACAGACTCCTCTTCAGAAGCCAAAGAAAGCAGCTTCTCCAGATGCAAAGCAGAAAATGAAAGGAGAAGAAAACTAATGATGCTGCTCGGCTGCACAGAAGCGAGCACACTTTTGGAAACCTTTCCAACCCTTAATTTACTGCAGCCATTCACTGCTTGGGAACGAAACTAATACACCCATCTGAAATGCTCCCTTCTGAGATGCATCTGCAACACCTATTAGAAGTGCTCAACACAAATACAATCAGTGCAGTTATTTAGATTTCCAAGGAGACACAAACTGTGGATAAAAAGATAAAAAAAAATAATAAAAGGAGAGTAAAGCCACACCAAGAAGTGCTATTCCTCTTTCCTGATCAACAGTTCTACGCAGTCATTTCAAGTATACTCACAGCACCTCCATTTAAAGGAAAATTCTCCAGCAATGAACTTTACCAGCTTCACACCACCTCCACCCCATCTCTCCCTTCCCCTTCCCTGGGGCTATAAACAAAAGACTTCCACTAGTTATTTCTTCACAGAAGTTGTAAAGAGCCACTCTGATGACAGGGCATCCATCATGCCCACACTAATTACCCTGCCACTTGCCAAATCAGTCTCTAATCTGCGGGAGGGAGCCAGCCCCATGTGCAGAGCAGGGCTGCCACATGGGAGATGCTCTTCCCCTCACAGGAGTAAAGGATGGGGCTGAAGCACCCCACAGCTTTCTGCCTTCTTCTGCAGTACTATCTTTAGGCAAAGCTGATCCAAGCTCACCCCTGTGCGCGGAGGGCAGCCAAACCAGTGGTTAGCTTGACACAAGCATCAGCATCAATGAGGCAGAAAGCTGGTCCAGGAAAGCAATTAAGTGAGAATTAATCATTACCACCTTAAAAAAAAAAAAAAAAAAAAGCCTCCCCCACCCTCTTTCAGGCGCACAGCAGTTTGCAGTGAGTGGGAAGCAGAGGAAGTCAGGCTGAATGGAGGAGCTGCTCTAGAGCACTGGAGGTGCCAGCTGTGGCCAGCTGTCACGCGTGGGAGTTCTTTCTATGCACACCCGTGCCAGGAGCACCCACATTTCCACTGGGTCTGCAGTTCTGCTTTCACGCACGCATCCTGCACAAGAGCATCGCACAGCGGCACTCTCTGCTATAGAGGTTAGTTCCGCAGCTGAGAAACTCAGTGGCATAGCAGGAAAGTGATTCCCACTTGGCTCATACCCCACCTGATGGTGAAACTTAGCGGAGGGAGGGTGGCGCAGAGCAGAGCAAATGACAGCATCTCCCTGAGCAGATCCAAACACACTGAGATCAGTGGGAATCGAAAGGGCTCACATTAACCACATCTCCCAGTGCTCATCTGGCACTGCTGTGGTGCCCTCATGGAAGCATCTCCAGAGGGTGCTGCGGATGGAGCAGCATCTTTCCCTGAATGGTTATCATTTCAATAGACAGAACAGACAAGAAAGGAGAAAGGAAAAAGAAAAAAAAAAGGACTCCTTGGAATATAAGATTCAACTTGTCCAAAAGCACTTATACAGCACATTTCACTTTAGATTCTGAAAGCCTAGCTCAAAGAGAAGTGATCAACCTGTAATAGAGCCCACTGCTCCTGACTTGGAGCATCCTGACCCAGCCACGCACAGTCTGTAACGCAGAGGAGTGGCTGTTGTTTGTCTTAAATCTCCTGCACAGCAGCTCTATGCCTGCTCTACCTGTGATTAAAGCTATGCTTACTGAATGTGGCAGAGCATTTTGGTTACCTCCAGCAACTGAGCACAAAAAAACCAAAGCATTTGGCTTTCTCTAGCAAGCTTGACATGTTTTCCTGCAGGAAACCCACAAGATCAAAACAATGAAGGTAGGGGTATGAACTGCTTCAAAGCCTGAAGGAGAAGAGAAGCAAATAGCTACTTTCCATCTCGCTTCATTCAGGAAATTGCTGCATAAAGCAGTGGAAGAGAGAGGGGAAACAGGACAGCCTGTTGCAAAGGTATCCATAGGAAAAGCAGCACAAAGAGGTGTCTGCCTGTTTAGTGCCATGACAAAGCTGGATCCGAGCTGGTAGGGGCTCTTCCATATGCCTGGGACTTCAGGTCCAGGCCCAGCTCCTAGCTCTGCCATGGACTTATGGAATTAAAGCTGTGCAGCCTCATTATAGCATTGAGGCCAGGGTCTTAGGTGGCTTCCCATCCTGTTTATAATACAGTAAAAAATACTACACCATGAGTGCAAAAGTGACTGTTGAACACCATCCCAGTGATACTCCCCAGGTGAGCTTTCTTCCACACATTTTGCACATTGTACAGAATGTAAAGTGAGCCATTCGCACAAGATTTGCCCCTCACCACCCCCTGCAGCCAAGCAGCAGAAGCAAGCTTTTCTCCACTCTCCTGGCATGGCTCAGGCTGTGCAGAGGGATGCTGAAGGCTGATGTTAGATGCCCTTACCCTGCACACCTCTGTTTCACAGCATTTGTCTCCACTTCAGGGCCATACAACCTCAGCATCACACCACTTCATGCACACAGGTACCATAAAAATCCATAACTGCAGTAACTCAAACTGGTATGCATGGTTATAAAATCACCTCCTGAATTAGGACAGCTAGAAGCTGAGATGGAAGAGTAGGAGGAAGTCAGGAAATCCCAGGAGAAGATGGTGGGAGAGGGATTTAGTCTCTTTAGAAGACAATAATGCAGTTTAATTTATTTTTCTTTTGACTCCACACACTAAAATAAGCTCCTCAGCTTCTGGGGCTGTCACAAATCATAAGGAAAATAAGGCCACTGGAACCTCATCAGTAGAATAAGAGCGATATAGTAATAATCCTGAGGAGCTGCACAGCGCTTTCCATCTTCAAAGTGTTTTACAGACAGTAATTTATTAATCTGCAAATTTCCCCTGGCCACTAGTAACTGCTCTGCCTCAGCTCAGTGCACAGATGGGAGCTCAAGAGCTGGTGCAGGAGGGGAGCAGGAGACAGCACCGACCTCCTGAGCCAGAGCAAGGATTCTGGCTGCTCAAAGCCATGGCTGCAGGTGTCAGCCTATGCAGGATTTGACCCCATACTGGGCTCACCCTGCCATGCAGCCTGCCTGACAACCCTAGAGCAGCTTTTGGAGGAATTTCCTATGCAAGAGGGTGCTTCCTGGCACTGAAGGATTATAGATGCACTCCAGATATCTGTTAAGTCAGTATCTAACATGGGCCAGCTGTGTACAAGAACAAAGGGGTAACATTATTTGATATTCATGCTGGCTGTTTTGCTTTTTGACTGGCTTAAAAGAGATGTAAAACCAACGTGTATCTGCATCACAATGATGGTGTCAAAGAAGTCATTACAAAACCGAAATTTGATTTACTGGGTTTTGCCATCCTTTCTTCGGCTATCAAAACACCTGGGTCATTAAGCATCCTGCAACACAAGCAGAGACCTAAGACAAAAAAGCAGAAGACCCTGAATATCACTGCAAAGCATCCCAAGGATCACACTTAAGGAACTCAAAACCCAGGCACTGCAGACCACAAATACTTTCAAGACCAGAAGAGATGCATCCATTGTGAGCAAGCAGCAGGCTTGGGCATCCAGCTGAAACAATAAAACCTTTCCTTCCCTTCTCAGGATGTTTCTAACCCAGACTGCATTCACTACCTACCCGACCTTCCATTCTTCCCAAGCAGATCATGCCCTGGAACAAACCCAGTCCACATCATTAGCTGGGGCTCAGCTCCATGCTAATTGAGCCTGCAGAAGTGCCAAGGCACGGCTCATATCCATACACACAGAGATAGCTTCTATCCACTACAGCATCCTGAAGATGGGCACCACAGTACCTGAAAAGCTTCGGCAGAATGCACCTTCAATATTCCAGGAAGGCAGTGCCATAGTATGAGTGTCCCACCTGCAGCTATGCAGTGCTTGGATACCAGCTCATGTTCTCTCTTGAAATTCTACTACTCTGGCCCCAAGAATAGACAGCTCGAATGCTGTACTGTTATCAGAGTACATCCAGCCTCCCACAGACTATTTGTGGCTTTGCAAGGGTGAAACGGGCTTCAGCCTCAAGCCACATAGCATAACAGAGGGCAGCCCTCCATCCAAACACAAAGAGTCCTGCAAGCCCAATAGCAGAAGCAGTGCATGTTTTGACAGCCCAAAGTGATTTAAGGCACTTGCAAAAAGGAAACCCTGCACCATTCACAGACCTCCAGAAAATTAAACATGAACACTATAGTGGATTTGCAGAAGGAATGTGCTTTAACTGGACATGTCCCATGCATCACCCTTTGACGCTTACGTCCTTGTAACACTCTACAAAGGCTCTAATCCTACTGATGGCTGCAGCTGACCCAGGCCAGTAGTCCTAAGGCAAGCCAGAGAGAAAAGCCTTCAGTCTCTGCACCGCAGTACCTCCTATGAAATCATCCCCAATCATTCAGGAAGGTACAAGATTACAATCATCCAATAACTGTTTATCAGCTCAGGGTGCTTCAACTGCTCCTTTGCCAGTGCTGCAGTGGGGCAAGCGCTCCCAGGAGGCCCATTAAAACCCCAGGGCTCTTTCTGAACCTCGTTCCCTCAAAGCCACGGCTTGTTCCTTCTCCCCTCCCTCCCCCTTGCCTTCTGCAGATCGTGCTGTCTCCTTCCTCCCCCGAGGAGGAAGCCCAGAGCTGAGGCACACACAATCTGCCTCTTCACCAGCGCCCGGCTGACTGCGTGCCAGGGGAGCCGCGAGCATGACAGCATATTTCCTGTCAGGAAAGTGACTCAGTGAGACGGCTGCGAGAGCTCCTCTTACCCAAGAAGTTCCCCTCTCCCCTCACGTTGTTGAGGCATGAGTCAGAAGCTGAGAGCCAGAACTTCAGCCCCCTCCAGAGCCACACAGGAACAGTGAATTTTGGGTTCGAACCCAGGTCCTGCTTGTATCTCAGTGACAAGGTGCTGTCACACGCCTGGTTTTGTCACTTCCAGACTGGGAATGACAATGCTGACCAAGCAGAGGGCTCAGATTTGCAAAGCACAGTTACTCAGAGGCTGGGCTGGCTGCTGTTTGCTTACGTACCCATTTACGCTGCACTCAAAGCCACTGCGTGCGAGCGTTACACAACCCCTGCAGCCAACCCATGTGTATGTGCACTTTGCCAAAGCACTCTACATACAGCCATTTCATCCAGGAACCACACAAAGCCCTCCAGAGGGCTGCAGCCAGCTTTCCTACAGCACCCTCAGCCCTGCAAACAAGCCCTGTGAGCACTCACCGGAGCCGCTGCCCAGGGGCACCACACACAGCCACAGCATCACCAGCAGCACGGCATCGACCATCTTCATCCTGCAAAGCACACCAAGGGCGCTGGTTATTTCACAACATTTCAACTCTGCAGGCATTTAAAAAAAATTAAAAAAAAATCTGAGCATGTGTGTTTATTCTTCCGCCCACTCATAGATCTTCTAGTTCTTGTACTTTTTTTTGTTGTTGTTTGTTTTTCTATATTTCATTAAAAAATTCACAGCAGTGTTGTCCTGCCTGCAGGCAGCCCAGGAGGTGACAGCTCAGAAGAGGACTCTGAGCTCACTGACTCAAGTCACTGGAACAGAGCACGAGCAGTAAGTTTGCTATTGCCTGCCACATACAGCAGGGTATAAATCCTAAGCTTTGATTCCAAAAACAGAGGTCCTATGCTGAGACCTCATTCTGCCAGTGCACATGCTCACTGTTCAGAGAAAGTGCAGGAAGTGCTGAAGTACATTTGCACCAAACACAGCTCTATGCAACCAACGCCTACACCATATCAGCTGCATGGCCCCAGCCCTGCAGGGAGCCCCCAGGATGAGGCTGCACATCATGCCCCATCCAATGCTTCCTGTGTACAAGCAATGAGTCCCAGACTCAACATGCCCTTAGTGACCTGAACCAACATTTGTGCTTGTAGTGCAGCACCCATAGGCAGGCAGAAAATCCCCAGCTTTCCAGCTTCTGCTGCAGAGTACAGTTCCCTGTAATTTGAGATAAACATACACTGCCAGTTCCACTTGCCACACGCTCTGGAATTTGGCATTCGGCTCTCGGAGCTGCTCACTCATTAGAATTAAAGCTTCCCCGTGTTTCTAGGTTTTCCAAGATGCAACTTAAGCTGCTACTCATGAAAGTTGACGTACTAGATGCTCTCATTAGTGGAGCAAAGGTACCATTGGATTATAAAGGGACAATACACAGTTAACCTGATGAACTGAAACAGCTAAGCTCAGTCAGGCAGTGTAGTAAGGAGCACAGTGCCACTGACAGAAGCATGCTCCTGGGGTGACAGGGAACCTGCTGCAAGATGTGAAAATAAGACACCCTTAAACAAGTTCCTCACAAGCCTCTGTATATCACGTACATTATGGAGAAGGATCTCAAGCAGAGGCAGAGAGCAGTTAAGATCGCACAGATTACCCATACTAACAAGAATGGGGTGTGTAGACCACTCAAAGCTCAGCAGCAGTTATTTAATCCTTCCTTTCCAATGAGTTAAAAAAGCATTTGTACAATGCTTTCACTGGGTTGGGCTCATTTCTAAGAGACAAAGGGAATCTGGAGCAAGCCTGCTCTTCCCCACACAGCAGGCTGCACTGGAACCCTACAGGTAGCAGAGATGGAGACAGCTGGGAGCTGGTCATCCTCTTCTTCCTTCACCCAAACTCAAGTGGCCTTCACTGCTGCCACCTATAACCACCAACACATAGGAAGAACCCATAGGGAGGAATGAAGATGAAGGGCATCCACCCTTTGGAAGATTCTAGAAAAGATAAAACATCTTTCTGTCATCAGACTGGGGAGAAAGAACCATTGTGCTGCATTTTTGGTGGGATTTCAGTAACTTTTGGGAATTGAGATGCTGAAACAGAGGGAGTAAAGACTGGGAGGGGAGAGGAAATCACTTCTTTAACAGATATCTCATGGTTCACCCTCCATTTGCCATTAGATTAATGAACAGTGTGTCCTTACTTAACCTTCTTTTCCACTTTTTCTGTCCTTCGTTCTGTACAAATGTGTTTGAACTCAGCTCTGACTTTGGAGTTCCTCTCATTTACAGCAAGGCCATTCACGTGGCCTGAGGCCAAAATACACTCCATTTCACTCAGTGATACCCAAGCTCTGCGGTGAGCTAATATTTACCTCCATTAACTGCTCCAAAGAGTACTCTCCTCAGAGCCACTGGGGCTCCATTCCCACAGACAAGATACCTAAAATCCCCACATTGTGGGGGCAATTCTTGGTTCTTGCTCTATCCAGCTATAAACAGCAGAATTTACTTCTGGTTCATTCCAGTCTCTCCAGAGCAGATCATCTCAGTGAGGAGAAATGCAGAGCTTGTCAGATCACAGTGATTCCCCTATGACTGGAAGGGGCTCCGTGGCTGCTCTGACAGCTTTCAAAGGTGAGAAAGGCAGCAGACGGGGCTGAGACCCCTCAATGCCACCAGCACTGTGACGCTGCAATAGGCCAAAAGTCTGTGATTTGCCCCAAAAATGTGTTCCCAGGACAGTCCTGTGGTCACATTTCCCCAGAAGGATGCGACTCTGCCAGCGACAACAGGAAAAAGAACATTGCACCCATTCCGTTGCAGACGGAGGTGGGTTTTGTAACACTGGAAGAACATGATGCCACAGCACGATAACTCACCCGCTCTTACCAGGAACAGAAGAGAGTTTTCTCTGCCTTTTCCAGCAACCTGCTTCTTTGTTTCGTGACACCAGAGAGCGTGTTGTAGTTCTGCCAGCACATGACACAATCGCTGCCCAGTTAACTGGCTGAAACATCATCATTTCTGGCTGCAATTGGAGGACTCGGAGGTTGGGGAGAGCAAAACCCAACCTGCATAGGAAGGGCTCCCCCAGCTACATCCACCTATTGAGGCCACAGACCTTACCCCAGCAGGCAGAGAAACCACATACAAAGCAAATGCCAAATGCAGCCAGGAATAAATCAGTGAGCAGAGGAGCATACAGCTTGGAGATCACACACAGGCAGACAGCAGGTAATCGGAGCTGCCAGGAGAAGGCTGGAGAGCTCAGATACATCGCCAGCGATCCAGGAGCTTCTCAGGAGACCAATACACTCTAAAGTGTTCTTAATGCCTCCATAAATTAACATTTTAATAATAATTCATAGAGCAATTGGGGAAAACAAGTCATCGCTGCCATTAATAGAGCTCTTAAGGAACTTAATTGATGTTTTCATTTTGTTTTGAATTTGTTTTCTTTGTGTCTCTGATCACTTTCTTCATCCAACTTCCACCTTGCATTTACCAGAGAGCAAAGAAAGGAGCAAGGAGAACACAGACATGGTGGGGTCTCCTGTTCCCAATGGTTGAGGTGGTGGAAAGATTTAGGTTGCATTTGATACTGGCTAAGAACAGGCCTGATGACGCAGAAAACATGGCTATTTCCATACAAGGAATCTTTGGTTCAAATAACCTTCCTATTACCCTTAGCAGCATGGACTCAGTAAAACCTCAGTGCTTTCCAAGAAATTACAAAAAAAACCCAAGATCGGTATCAAACAATTAATTAAGAGAGCTGCTCTCAAAGCAGCCACTGTACACCTATTCTGAAAGACAACTGTACTAATCCTACAGAACAATGTCACAATTCACAAGAAACTGCCTTTGTCCCTTCAAACCACGGGCACCTGGAGAGCTCTGACAGGTTTTCCGCTGCTCACCAGAGTCACATTTCTGTACGCAGAACAAAGGCGCCCTTCAAAACATCGTCACTAAGTGCTCTCTGGCTGAAAGGGCATTTAAAATAAAGCAGTCGCAGGAAGAGGAAAACATAAAGCCTGCTCTGGCTATTTGAATGGGGTTATATATTATTTTCTGTAGGAAATATTTTTGTTAAGCCTCTCTAAGTCAGAGGGATTCGAGAGCACTGGGCTGGCTCTAAGAAAACGGATGCTGACACAGGAAGACATTGGCTGACACTGACTTTGGAGACGCTTTGCTTTTAAACTACACATGCCTGGGACAGGAAAGATTCTGGTCAGATGCTACCAGGGCTTCAAAGCACGCACAGCAAGAGCTCTGCTTACTCTGCTAGCAGGCAAGTTGAGTGTGCAGTGATTTGCTGCAGAACCAGGCAGTACACAGGAGAGAGGCACAGCTCCTCTGCTCCATGGTACCATGTGCTCTCGGTCCCTGCATCCCCACACTCTGCTGGAAAAGGCAGTTTGACACACTTGCTGGGTTTTCTTATGAGGAAGATAATGCATAGTCAAAGCACATTTAAAGAATCCCAAAGGCAGACAAAGGGCAGTCAGAGAAAAGCAATGAGGAAAAAAAAGAAACAACCACTAAGTGGGAAAAGGCCCTTCAGCCTTCCAGGAAACACTCTTGCTTTTCAGTCCATGCAGAACCAAGTCAAATAATAGGAGGAGTTACTGTAGCATAAATCTTGGTGCCACTTAACTGAGACTCACACAGCTCCTGCTGCCCCCAGCAGCTACTGGGGCACTGAGCAGCATCACTTTTGCTGCACTCCTGTCCCTGCCCAGAGCAAAGCTTCCCCTGCTGGGAGTCTGACAGTCCTTGTGCAAATCCGTCCCAAGAATGCAACACAACACTGAACTTCAGCCAGCTCCCAGCCCCAGCTGGGGACACTGCATCAAGGTGATGACCAGCAGGGCTGTCAGACACCCGCTGCTCACATCCCACCTATGGGATTCCACATAGCCACATCCACATAAGCCATGCTGTGCTGTCACTCACAGGAGCCTCATGTGACTTCTTCCAGTGACGTCATGGGGCTGCAATGCAGGGCAGCCAGCCCAATGGTAAATTATTAGAGATACTAGGAAAAATTTCTTCCCAGAAAGAGTGAAACAGCCTGCCCAGGGAGGTGGTGGAGTCACCGTGCCTGGAGGTGTTCAAGACCTGTGGAGATGTGGCATTGAGGGACGTGGTCAATAGGTATGGTGGGGATGGATTGGCAATTGGACAAGATGGTCTTAGAGAATCTTAGGATTCTGCAGTTCTAAGCTGGAGCTTCCTGCAAAAGCCAAGTAGGAGGCATCCAAGGGGAAGGACAGGTTTTGTTTTCTCCTGCACATCATCCTAAAGCCCTTCTGTTTGAGGAGACACAAACCTCTCAGAGTTTCAGCTTGCTTTTAAGGATAACCCTTGAAGAAAGATGTAGCCTTAGGAAACATCTCTTTCTTCTGCTTTTACTGATGGTGAACACACTTGCCTAGGGATTAAATGGAAAACAGAGGTGCATCACTCTAAGGGTAACAGAGGGATGGAGAATGACCAGAGAACCTGTGAACTCTTATTGACATATAGCTACCTGGAG